TAGACCAGGCTGGCCTTGAACTCACAGATATCTGCCTGCCTTTGCCTCCCGAGTGCTGGGATTAAAGGCATGTGCCACCACGCCCGCAAAAAATTTCTTTATTTTTATTTTTTGTGCCTGCAGGTATGTAGGTGCACCTGTGTCAGGCAATGCCTGTGGAGGACAGAAGAGGGCATTGGATCCATGGAATTGGAGTTATGGATAGGTGTTAGCCGCCACATGGGTGCTAGAATTGGAACTTGAGTTTTCTGCATGAGCAGCCAGAGCTCTTCACCTCTAAGCCATCTCTCCAGCCCCTCTAACACTAGTTTTCCTCTGCTTTATTCAGGAATAAAATATTCAGTCATTCTCTCCACTGGATAAGGAATGATAGCCGAAAGCACCGAGTGAGAGTGGACCATCTAGTCAGTGTTTTGATCAAGAGAACAAGAACAAAATTTCTAAGAAAAATCTTGGCTTCATCAAGTCTGCTAAAAAATATATTTTCCATGCTATTAAAAAAACACCCTAGCCAAAGCTAAAATTAATAATAATAACAAAAAATCAGCCATCAACCTATTCATGTCATATATGTTTAAGTGCTAAGCGTTAGACTTGGTATTTGTTAGTCCACGCTTGACATTCAAGTGCTCAGTTATACTGAGGAGAATATAAGTTATCAAATGAATATGTAGCAGGTTAACAGATGAGTATGTAGATTTTTAAAATATTTTATTATTTTTATTTTAGGTATATGAGTGTATTGCCTGCATGGAGGTAAGTGCACCTGTGTCCTGCAATGTCCATAGAGATCAGAAGAGTATGTCAGATTTCCCTGGAACTGAAGTCATAGACAGTTGTCAGTCGCCATGTGGGCGCTGAGAATTAAACCCGGGTCCTCTGCACGAACAGCCAGTGCTCTTAATCACTGAGCCATCTCTCCTGACCCCTAGAGATTATTTTTGGATTTTAAAAGAATGATGAAATGTAGCTTCTTAAAAAGAGTAACTGAGTGAAAAAAAAAAAAAACCTTTAAACTGAGGACATTCATCATTCATCATTAGAAATACCAGTAGGCTCAGTACATTAACAATAAACATTAGCGCTTATTATATTTATTATTATCATTATTTTGAGAGACTGTCTTTCTATAGTCCCAGTTGTTTAATTATCCATGGAAATCTATAGAAATGAATGACTTTTCCTTTTGTTTTTCTGCTCTCATAAAGAAGAAACTAAAACAAAAGCAATACCTGTAAATAAACTTGGTGAATATGTGAAGATCTTTGGGGGGAAAAGAGAAGAAAAAATAAAGAATATTCTGGTTAAATAATCAAGAGTTACCTACATGCAGCATAAAATACATTCATACACTGCAAATAATATCTCAGGGATACAACTTTAAACTACTGTAAGATTAACAGGATTTCACATGTTTACATGAAGTTATAACTTCAAAGTAATTTTGCACACTAACTTTCTCTACTATCCAAAAACTTAAAGCACTACAGAGATACTCACATTTGAAGGTTTAAGTTTGTTAATGATTGTTGTTTTGCCACTATTATCCAGCCCAAGGCATAAAACATGAACCTCCTTCTTCCTCAGGCCAAGTAAGCCTGAAAGTCTGTCCAGCAATCCCATAATGTGATTTAAATATTTACAATGCAACTGCAAGGTGGGGGGGGGGAGAAGAATTATTATCCAAAGGCACCTTATATATGAGAAATACTGGTATATGCAAAAAACATTCTAAAGACATAAAACAACAGTGTAAAAGGCACATGCTTAAAACTTAAACTCAGTAAATAGAGCATAAGCTGATTACCAGAAAGGAGCCTTAACTGAAATCCAGATTGGCAGCTTATAACCCTTGGCAACACAGAATAATACCGTTGAAATAACTACATTTCTCATTGTAATTTATAATGTTTAAGAAGAAATTCTTGTTAGTTTCAGCATTGTTGAGTTTGCCAATTGAAGTTTTCAAATTTATTTATGAATGAGAGTCTGGGAAATCTGGAACAATACATGGGCAAAGAGGTTTACCTAAAAACTGACACTAAAGCTCTCAAAATAGGAGACAGAAAAGCAAAGAAAAACTGAAATTATGGCTGTATCTTTTTAACCACTAGTTAAATATTTATCTGAATCTAAACCACAGTTATAATTTGTAAGACTACGTAATCATAAAAATTTCATTGCTTGTGTTTGCTTGCAGGTTTGCCTCCAATTTGAGTTGGGTTTTCTATCAATAGAGACAAAGAATATTCAAACTGATTTCCCTTATCCTTACATATCTTTTTAAACCACCACAAATTAATTGGGAAGAATGGATATGCCCCTTCACAATTTTATTGAGTCTTAATAAATTAAATATCTGTCTTCTTATTGGTAAATGATGTGAAACATCCTACCATTACTTAAGAGCTTGAGCCATAATACTATTGTAGATTAAGAAGTTAATTTTAGAAGCTGAAGTCCATAATAGATATACAAGCTTCTATAAAGTCAAACTTCTTGGACCCTTTAATATGTTAACATATTAACATTTTAATATGGAGAGATGGCTCAGTGGTTAAGAGCACCGACTACTCTTTCAGAGGACCTGGGTTCAGTTCCCAGCATCCACATAGCAGCTAACAACCACCTGTAACTCCAATTCCAGGGAATCCAACACCCTCTTCTGACTTCCATGGGTATTGCATGACACAGGTGCACTTACATACATGCAAGCAATACACTCATACACATAAAATAAAAAATAGAAAATCAGATATTTTATTTAAAAAATGTTAACATAGCCAGGCCATAAGTTGTAAACTCCAAAAGATGGATAATGAAAGTATCATTTTTGGTAAGTATTTGTTCATGAGAACCTTTTCAGGAAATATTCCAGTTGCACATAGTTTGGGAAACCTGGTCTATTCTCTCATTGTCCTGTTTATGCACAGATCAGCATCATAATCTTTGAATTCTTGTACCACTATATATTTTGCCTTATGAAAAGGCAAATTTCTTTCATTAGTGGTTATTTTTTAAAGAATATGAAAAGTTTGCATACCTTTCACAGATTTTTTCTTTTTTTTTTTTTTTTTTTTTTTTTTTTTTTTGTACAGGGGCCCTGTAGCCCTAGCTGGCCTGGAACTCACTATGTAGACCAGGATGGCCTCCATCTCACAGAGTTCTACCTGCCTCTGCTGGGACTAAAGGAGTGTGCCACTATGCCCAGCCTTTCTTCAGTTTTGAGGAGAAACATGCTCTGAAAAAGTATGTTCTCTTGGACAGGCATACTCCTATGTTTTTCATTTCTTCTCCTTCCTTATTTTTGTTTAAGTTTGGAGAAAGGAAGATCCACTAGCTACTCAATAAGAGAGAAGATAAGGAGAACTTGAAAATCATAACTCTGAGCACTAAGAGTCAACCAGAAGGATTTGGGGTTGTATAATAAACAGTAAAAAGCATATATCACAAATCATTCTAAGTTACTTTTCCCCCTCTAATTTGCTTTACATTTCAAAATGGTCCTGTCTAAAATTTTAAATAAAATTAATTTATTGTAATGATCTCACAAATAAAAACATCACAAGCTAAATTAAAGTAGCCACAACAAACACTTTTCCAGTCTTGAACTCTATATAGCTCAATGAACGTCTAAGCAGTTGGAATAGTCATTCAGAAGCAATGGAGCTTTGCTTAGAGTTTTATACTGTCACCATCAATTCCATTTTTATACACTTATCCACCACAAAAAAGGAGAAAAAATATGACAGAATTGAAACTAGGAAAATAATAAGCTCTATATCTGTTTCATGACACATCTGTTATAAACTTTTAAAAAATTTTTATTTATTTTATGTGTATGAGTGTATTGCCTGCATGTACATAAGTGCACCCGTGTAGTGCAAAGACCTCAGAGGTCAGAAGAGGGCATTGGGTCCCCTGGAACTGGAGTTATGGTTGGTTTTTAGCCACCATGTGGGTGTTGGAAATAGAACTGGGATCCTCTGCCAGAGCAGACAGTGGTCTTAACCACTGAGCTGTCTCTCTCCAGCTCCATGTTTAAACTTTTTATTCTTTTTGTCTTTTTTTTTTTTTTTTTTGAGACAAGGTCTCCCTATAGCCTCAGCTGTCCTGGAACCCACTATGTAGACCAGGTTGGTCTTGAACTCACAGAGATCCACCTGCCTCTACCTCCCGAGTATTGAGATTAAAGGCATGTGCCAGCACCCCCAGCATGTTTAAACTTTTCAAAGAAAGTTATGATTATACCAGGCAGATCTTTGTGCTACTGAGGCCAGTCTGGTCTATGTAGAGAGTTCCAGGCCAGCTGGGGCTACAGGCAATCCTTGTCTCAAGCAAAACAAAACAACACAAAAGTATGATAGTGGTGGCCGAGTATGTAGCTAAGTGGTGTAGTACTTGCCTAGCATGTGCACAAGCTTGAGTTCAATCCCAAGCACTTCAAAAAAGAGAAAGAAAATGAAAAAAAAAAAATTCTATTGGGGCTGGAGAGATGGCTTAGTCATTAAGAGCACTGGTGAAAGTTTGGTTTCCAGCACCCAAATTGGCTGTTCACAACACCTGTGAAATCCAGTTCCAAGAGATCTGACACTCTCTTCTGGTTTCTGCAGGCAATGCTCATGTGCACAAACTCACACACACATACATAATGCATACACACATACACATAAAACATAAAAATTGGTCTAAGAGAAAGTTAGAAAGCTGACACTTAGATTGTCTTAACAGGTAAGCAGAATACCATCTCAGATAGCTTAGAAATAAAATATACCACCGGGTGTGGTGGTGCACACCTTTAATCCCAGCAGGCAGAGGCAGGCGGATCTCTTGTGAGTTGGAGGCCACCCTGGGTCTCCATAGTGAATTGAGGCCAACTGTGGCTACAGGGAGACCCTGTCTCAAAAATACCAAAAACAAAAAACAAAACAAAACAAAAAACAACAACAAAAACAAAAAGCAAAAAACAAACAAAAAAACCCTTCAGCTTAAAAATCTTTCTGTTCTGTATGACACTGGCAGAACTGATAGCTAAAGTCAACTTGATAAAATGGAGCAACTCCTGCACTTGATCAAGAACGCTTGGGTTTGAATACTGCCCTGCCACTATGTGTATTACTTCTGAATTGTTTAGACTCTTTGTACTTCAGATCTTTAAGGCAGAGTGTTAAGCACAGGGTTTAACGTTGTTCACAACCTGGCTCTGATCTTTTATATTTCTCATCTCACTGTTTGCCTCTGTTTATATACCAGCCAAATTCTCCTGGTTGCTCTCTGAGAATTAGCTTCCCCAAGGATTACTGGTTGCTAGAAAAGCACTGAAAAATTAGCATGTTATCCACAAGTAATCCCTTGGAGGTAAACTGCAGAGAGAAACAGGATTGGCCAGAGAAAACCCAGGAATAGTACTTTGTAAACTTTAAACATGTTAGTTGAGAGGACTGTTGTGCATTCTTACTACCCCAATTAAGCAATCGTATTCAGCTTTAAATTTATGATCATAAGGGACTGAAGAGATGGCTCAGCAGTTAAGAGCACTGACAGTTCTTGCAGAGGACCTAGGTCCGATTCCCAGCACCCACAATAGTGGCTAACAACCGTTCATAATTCCAGCTCCTGGGGATCCCACGCCCTCTTCTGACCTCCACGGGCACTGCACAACACAGGTGCACTTACATACATGCAGGCAACACACTCTCACACAAAAATTTAAAATGAAATATTAAAAATTTTGATAGCGAGAAATTTCAATTAAACTGCCCATACATCATATAAAAAGGCCTAGCTTGGGCAGTGCTAAAATCAAACAAGCAAGCAATCAACATTCACCCAAACCATTTAAACTCATTTTCTAGGCGTCTAAGTATTCAACGCATATGTTCATTTCTTTTCCACCTCTCACACATTAGAGACACTAACTCTCTCGAAATGAAAACCATGGGAAATAGCGAAGAATTTTAAACCAGGCAGGAAGAAGGTGACCTCTGGCTACCCGGGTGCAACTAGCAGAGAACAGGTAGGTACCGGGAACCTTTTTAAAGAGATGGACCGACCGTGGTTCCAGGGTTCTACAAACTCAGCATCACTGCACTGCACACCCGACTAGGGTGAAAATGATGCCATATAAATTATACCCAACAGAGCTGAGCGATCAGAAGTGGAGACAGAGAAGGCGGAGGGAGATAAGATACCTGATCTTTGAGGGCAGTCCGAGAGCCTGGGGACTGCTGAGAAACAGGAGTGTGCGAACTGCCGGTATCCGACTCGGGTTGGGATCTGCAGGCAGCCTCACCCTTCTTCTCGAGGCCTCCACAGGAAGGTCCCCTTGCCCCGACCACAGCCGCCACTCCAAGTTAAGAGAACTGGCGGCGTAGGCCCAGGTAGGAGCATCAGTGGCTGATCACGCGCCCCAGCGCACGGCGTACCCTTAGCAACAAAATCTCCTTCCGGTTCCGAAGCCACGCCTCCTCGGCCTAAAACGTGCATCAGGGGTGGGTGTGTTCTAGCTCCTGCGACTGAAGGACTCTGGGTATAAACGGCCCTAGAGCGTGAGCGAGCTCTGTTGACAAAGGGAGCCGCCAATTTCCAGAGAGTCTCAGTGCTGTTGCGACTGGGGCATGATGGGAGTTGTAGTCCTAGCCAGGTGGCGCGCCGGGCGGGCTAGCTGGGGCACCCAGGGTTTCCTGGCGCCCGTGCTCTGAGTGGCGCTGAGAGCTAAGCAGAGTCGGGGTGGCTGAGGCTGTAGGACACAGCGATGTAACGACGACGGCATGAGGTGGAGCTCTGCGGCAGAAGTGTTGCCTCCACCCTTCGCACCGACTCCTGGGCCGTGTACCAAGCCCTGAAATACAGCTGTTAATTTAGGCAGGGATGGAGAGAAGCTCCTGTAAAAACTAGTACAAATATTGTTCACTAAAAGAAATCCGAGACATTATTTGGAATGTGTCCATGCCCTGGCTCCTAGCTGTCCCCCCTGGAGACTTTACCACTATGCATAAACTTGTGATTGGATCACAGACCTCAGGATCAGATAGGCTGGTGGCCAGGAAAAGTGCTAATAAATAAATATTTGAAGTTACCTTGTTAAATTAACTTGGATTTTATAGTAATAGAAATAAGTTATCCTCAAATTGAAAGTTTTTAGATAATACATTTTCCTTGACATATTAAGTTTTCCAATGGACAGGCTACAGATGCAACAATTTTAAAGGTCTACGAGGGGTTTTTTGGCCAGTCTTTCCAGCTGCCTAGTTTTATTAACCTCAACAAATGCCTTTCATGACACACTTTCATTAAAGACAGTTTATCTATTTATTAGCAGTATTATACGGGATTTTATTTTTCTTTTCTCAGTAGTGCGTTGACTACCAGGTTTTGGGATTTATTTCTAATCTTGATCTATTAACTGAACTATAAGAGTGAAAAAAAGAAACGGGAAGGAATTCCATCAAAGTAATGTTGGTGAAGACGGTTGTACATGTATGACCATGGACTGCTTTTTCCAAATCTCCAAGTGTTTTCACAGTGGAAGCATAGTTCTGGGCTCCTTTTTAAAAAAATATTTTATTATTTTATGTGTATGCGTGTATTACCTGCATGTATGTGAGTGCATGTTTTCACAGTGGAAGCATAGTTCTGGGCTCCTTTTTAAAAAAATATTTTATGTGTATGCGTGTATTACCTGCATGTATGTGAGTGCACCTGCGTTGTGCAATGCCGCAGAGGTCAGAAGAGGGCTTTGGGTCCCCCTGGAACTGGGGTTAAGGACGGTTTGTAGTCACCATGTGGGTGCTGGGAATTGAATCTGGGTTCTCTGCAAGAGCAGTCAGTGCTCTTAACCGTTGAGCCAACTCTCCAGCCCCTGGGCTCCTAACTCTTATGGCAAACACCGAAATGAACAAAAGAGTATGCCTACAGATCTAAAAAGTATGGACATAAATGTGAAAAGTACTGACAATAAATGTCCTATAAAAGTAGAGAATGAAAATATGCTATGCTTTATTCAGTGGTCAGGAAAATTAACCCTGCTTCATGCTTCATCTTCTTCCCCCTCAAAAAATTATTATTTTACCTTATTTAGTGGTTTTGAGTACTAAAGAGAGAAAGGAAGTGCTAGGTAAAAAGTAGCCGAAAATGGATAGAGTTGGTTGGGAAAAGGCACCAAGAAACATAAAACTCTCAGCAGGATAGAGTTTTATTTCACACGGATTGTGCCTGGGGCTTTTATAAGGGGGCTTCAGGGTGCAGAAGGAGGGAAGTTTTTTGGAAAAAATTAGGAGGGGGCAGGAAAAGCGGGGCTTGTAAAACCAGCGCTTTTCCATCTGCCAGCCAGGATGTGGGTCAGGAAGTGTTTATTTTTTGTCCTCTTAAGGAAAAAACTGCTGTACTAAAGGGGCTCCTGAAGTCTCTGGTTAATAGGTGGAATCTGCTTATCTTGTCTTTGGAGGTCAAAGGAAAGGAAGGCTGCCTTTTAGAAGAGGCTGCTTCTGTTGACTTCAAAGATCAGGATGCTTATCAGCTCTGTTCCCTTTTCTCAGGGGCTGTGAGATTCTGTTGGAGACAGGGAGGGATACTGTGATCTGAAATCCTAATATTCCAGCCTTTTGTGTTATAGGATAGGGGGCACCATTGTCATCTTGCTACTTCCTGCTGGACAAGGTCGACATGGGGAATGGCTGGATTAGAGATCCACCAGACCGCAGGGGTTCTCTCTCCCTGCATCTAAACAGGGTCCTTGATGGTTGACAGGTGTTCATATACATGTGGCGGGAAGGAAAATAACAACTGCTTAAAATTAGTGTTTCAGATTTGGTCCTGAAAATATCTGTTTTCAGATTTGGTCCTGAAAATATCTGTTTTCAGGTTTGGTCCTGAAAATATCTGAAGAGACAAGGAGCAATGGTTAGCACCAAAGTGATAGAAAGCAGTGGGCCAAGTAAGGGCAGAAGCCAAGGAGTTAATCCTGTAAAAATATCCCATTGAGATGACTGTTGGTACTGGGAATTTTTAAGTGAAAGATTTTTCACTACCTGTTTGAGTTATTCTATATCATGTTTGACCTTACCAGATTGGTTGATAAAATAGCAGCATTCTTCACCCCCCCAAAAAAATACAGTTTTCTGCAGTTAATAGATCCAGGGCTCACCTGTTCTGGAGAGCAACTTCAGCTAGGGAGGATAATTGTTGTTGTAGAAACTGGATTGACTGGGCTGTAGTTTCCACTGTTGAGGTGAGTTCCCATCTGAGGTCCTCTATTTCTTGGGAGAGATGCTGGGTTGAGATCAGCGTGTGTCCCAAACCTCTGCCATGAGTCCAGTGGCTGCCACTGATGCCACCAGGCTGACTCCTACCAAGACTGCCAAGGTGGCTGACCTCCTTGTTCTGGTCCTTCTTTCCCTGTGGATAAGACATCATACACCTCTCCTGGTGTGTATAGGGTTAGTTTGGGAATGAGACTGACTGGAGTGCAGGTGTCCTCAATCTGTGGAGAGCTGCAGGAGTATATTTTAGAGGAACAGAGAAAGAGTAGTCCCGAGATTAGAGAAGTATTGCCCTTAATTGTGGAATTTCGGCTTGATGAATGTGGGCATTCAGAGGTTTGAGGAGTCCAACACTGTTTTGTCAAGAAAAAGGGGAGGGGCAGGCAGGAGTCCTTGTATTAGGGGTTCCTGAGAACACTGAGTAGTAGCCTGGGGAGTAACATTGTAAACTCGGAGGGGGATGAGAAGTGAGCCCTGAAGGGGGGCACAGAGGAAGAAAGTGGACACATTAGCACTAGAGAAATTCCTCAGGAGATTAAGCAATAAAGTGAGAATCCAAAGAGAAGCTTTGGGAGGCCTTGAAGCATTGAAGCTGCTTCATTGTTAAGCCCCTTGTCTGATCCAGGACTTTCATAGCCTGTTGGGGCCCTGAGTCCTGGATTGTCTTTTTTATCTTTAATTGCCAAAGGTCTATAGCAGCCGCTTGTGTATTGGATCCCTGCTGCAGCAATGTGGTCCCCCACCCATGAGTGTGAGTTAAGTATTTTGAAGACCACTTCCCCATAGACTCCTTGTTTATACTGATTGTGTCTGTGTAGGATTGAATCCCTGCTACACTTAAGATCTGCCGGGTCAGTTGCCTGAGTGAGTTGGTTTGTGCTTGTTCTGTATCTACCCCATCCCTCTTTACCCACCTCACTCAGCCAATGGTAGTTGCAATTCCATGAGGGGCAGACTTCCTAATTGCCCAGGTCTCTGCATTCCCTTTTGGTTTGATCATCTATGAAGCAGAGGAATCTGCCATAGTAGGCATCTATCATGTCAAATTTAAGACAAACAGTGTTACATGAAGAAAGTGGGCACGTAGCAGAGCTAAGGAGCTCGAGTTCTCGATTTCTATTAATATTCCACATTTCAAATCTATAAGAACACAGTGGGTAGGTGCAGTGGGGAATGGCTGAGGTAGGTTTCAGAGGGAAGAATAGAAGTACAGTCAGTAGAAAACTCATTCCTCGATTGGTGTTAAGGGAGGGATCCTCAAGATTTCCAATTTAAGAGGCCTGGTACTTGCTGTGTTCCTTGGCTGGTTTTAATTTGGGGAGATGAATACAACCAGGTTGTCCTGAGAGCTTGGCTGCAGTCAGGGTAGACAAGATCACCAGGTGAGTACCAGTCCACCTTGGTTGGGGGGTTTCCCTCACTCCTTTCTGTTGGGTGTGAACCCGCAGGTAGGCGTGATCTCCAGGTTGAAGTGGGTGGTCAATCTGGCCTTTAGAAGCCTGAGGAATAATCTGGTCAGCATGCTCCTTGAGAAGTTTTCTTAGAAGGGTGAAGGCAGTTAAATAGTCATGTAGAGGGGAGGGATGCTGGAGTAGGAGATTATTCGGAAGGAACAGTCTCCCATACATAAGTTCAAAAGGACTGAGGAAGGAAGGAGCCCTTGGGATGGCTCTCAGTTTAGTAAGGGCAAGGGGCAGAAGAGTCACCCAGGATTGGTGTAACTCTAGGGAGAGTTTAGTAAGGTGGTTGTTAAGAAAGGAGTTAGCTCATTACACCTTCCCTGAGGATTGAGGGTGGTAGGGGATGTGTAACCTCCAGGTTATTCCCAGGGACTGAGAGACTTCCTAAGCTACTTTGGAGATAAAACCTGGGCCATTATCTGATTGGAGAGTGAGGGGAAGACTGAAACTAAGAAGAATGTTTTGAATTAAACAGCCACGATATCTGCTGTTTCACCTATTGTGGGAAAAGCTTCTACTCACCCTGAAAATGTATCTACCCAAACCAGGAGATACTTAAGCTTCTTGTGAGTAGGCATGTGAGTGAAGTTTATCTGCCAGTGGACTCCTGGGAGGAACCCCTGGTGCTGGTGAGGTTTGAAAGATGGAGGAGGGCGGCTTCTGCCCTGAGGGGAGACAACAGCACAGGTAGAGCATTGCCTGGTGACTTCTGTAAGAAGCATAATAAGTTTGGGGCAATAGATG